ATAATTTAGGAAATCATTTTACTTCGCTTTTGAAAATGTGTATAATTAATTCAATTAGAGATCATATATTTAATCCGCAAATGTGCCTAAAGGCCCAAATCAAACACACCTTTTTTTAAATTTCAATAGAATTATTTTTTTATTTTGTTTTTTGTTTATTTCTTAAATATTTTAAAGTTTTTTTTTTAGGAAGAATTGCAGATAATTGAACAATTTACAATTTGAATTATAAAGTTAAGAGTTATGTAAGAGTATTATGGAGTTTGTTTTCATATATGTAATATATTTGTATCAATTAATTTTATCAAAATAAAAAATAATTTGTAGATATTCGAATTTTATTTGACGTTTTTGTATTATTTGTTAAGGTACATTTTTTTGGATGTGAGCTTGTTGTATGAAAAAGAGAGAGTTGAAATTGAATTTTTGTGTATGAAAAATGTTTGAAAACTTTTTGTTGGATTGCTTTGCAAAAATTAGCTAACTAGAATTATATGTGCGTATGTATAATATCAATATGTTATGGATCTTAGTTGCAATTAAAGTAAATCTTGTCTTCAGCATATAATGGTCTTTATTCGAAAGTGTATGTACTAAGAAAGTGCTGTTTTAGGTTCAAAATGAAATGAGTTGTGCGAAAAAGCTTTATATTTTATAAGATTTGAGTATTTTTTTTTAACTGAATCGATTTGTTTATATAAATATTGCATATATATTTTTAATAATAATTAAAATAATTGTTTTTATATTTTAGTTAATAAAAAATAGTAAACATATTTTTTATATATATAGGTATAGTTTAAATATTATAAAATCATAACAGTAACATACAATTCTTGGAAAATATCACAAAATGTTTTTTTCTGTTTTTTTTCAATATTTTTTTATTTATAGGTGAATATTTTTTGTTATAGAAAAAAATAATTTTATTTTTATTTTTTATGTTTATCTTTAAAAGTGCTAAAGGAGGGATGTTTTATTTGATTGATTAGTGTTCTAGATTTGATTTAGTATTTTGCATGTAATTATTTGTAAATTTTATGACAAATGATTATTTAATATTTTTGAAAAATATTAAACACGTATTTGCTATTTAGTGAGACGGAAGTGTGGAGAGTTGCAGTGATAAAGATGGAAGTTTAGTTACGATAAGGAAAATAAATTTCTGACATATGAAGAGCCCAAGTTTCTTTGTAAATTGGCATCAAAAAGTTCTGGGGGATTCATCCTTATTGTTCAAGGTGACAAACCTTTCCACGGGCCATATTACAGCATAGAAAAACCCGCCAAATTCCCAGTTTTGGCTATTTTAGGCACATTTTTAAAACCTAATTACATAATTTTGTTTTCATTTGAGTAGTAGATCTTTTTACCAACAAATATCAGTGTCAGTTTATATAAAGCCCACAATTTAAAAACCCATCCCATTAATGGTATTTTTATATTCTAGGTGTATTTTCACGGAAGGGGCTATAATTTGGCATTTCGGAGTCTTGGATGATTAAAGATATCTATGCTGAAAGGATTCCAGCTTCCCACTGATTTTAGGTACTTTCAACAGCCACCTCAAAGGTCTACCCGACATTCGTTACTTCAATGAATATTGGATATTCAATGAATATTGGATTATTCGTTTTAAATAGAAAGGTGGATTAGGCTTTATTTTGGGCCACTACTGACATAGCCCTCATATAAATGTTCCGCCTCGTTTTCGGTATGCTGAAAAACACGTTTATTAAATCGTCGCAGGATATATGTACATGTGCTCATTTTCGACATACTGAAGATCTTAGACGAGTGTATCAGGTTTCCCAGGTTATTGGTGCCAAGAAGTCTTCGGACAAAAATTGAATATATTAATTTTTGACGTATATCTCGGTATGCTGAAAATTCATATATGATACTGATTCATTTTTTTACAATAACATAAAAGATGGTCAGTATACTTTCTTATGATAAATCGCCGATATAAAGTCAGGAGGACCTTATTGCTCCTAAAGTCGAAAAAAATATTCTGGGCATACATTCCAGTGAGATTGTATAGACTTTTTCGGTCTAAGGAAGATTCAGCATTGATATCAATATTATAAACAAATGATTTGTCACAATTATGATCCGGGGTGTGGCGATCAACATGCACAACTAGATTTCTTAATAAAATTATAGAAATTGGCTCAACAATTGAGAATGAACGATAAGCAATTCTGATGCCAAAAATTGACTACAAATGGAAAATGGTCGAACCTGACAACAGGTATTTTAATAAAAGTCTTCTCAGCGGCCTTAATATGGAAGGGCTTTAAGAAAAGTATAAAAAATCACAGATCAGATCTACAGGCTTATTTATCATTTTGAACAGATTTTTTTAAAGTCATCTCAGTGGCTTTCATAGGAAAGATCTTTAAGAAAATATGTAAAAGTAGTTCTGAAGTTCTTCTCAAGGTCAAAGTATACAAAAAAAATTTCTGATGCAAAAAATTTACACCAAATGGAAAATGGTCGAACCTGACACCAGGTATTCCAATAAAAGTCTTCTCAGCGGCCTTAATATGGAAGGGCTTTAAGAAAATTATACAAAAAAAAAAAAAAAAAAAAAAAAAAACGCAGAACAGATTTTTTTAAGTCATCTCAGCGGCTTTCATTGAGAAGATCTTTAAGAAAATATGTAAAAGAAGTGCTGAAGTTCTTCTCATGGTCAAAGTATACAAAAAAATTCCCCAGATCTATTATATACAGACGGTATGTTATAGGCTGAAGATCATATACAGACTGAAGACCTTCTACAGGAATTCTAGATAGAGGATACCTTCTTCTTCAGATCTTCTATAGACAGAATACCATCTGCAGGCATACAGTACAGACTGGATATATATATATATATATATATATATATATATATAAAGTCTTATGTAGACAGAGTAACATCTACAGTTTTTTATACAGGGCTTCTAGGGAGAGCTGACCTTTTCCAGGTCTTTCATAGACTGAAGATTTTCTAGAGGTCTTCAAAAGACAGAAGACCTTCTTCCGATCTTCTATAAGGAGAAGAAGTGCTTATAATTAATTAATTTCTACCGGGTTTATTATATTTTTTTAGAGAGAGGAGAGGTCTTTGAAATGTAGAATATCTCATTCATTTAAAGGCTATTGATAAATATACAAATTATCCTTCATGTGTTCTTTTGATCCAAAAACTCTGCAGACTTAAAACTGTAAAGTTTTAGCTCGTCTATAAAAAAATCTGCTTCAGTTCGTAGAAAAATTGTCCCAAATTCAGACTTGCCTATCAAATCTCTCTGGCTGCAGTTCGTATATAGACTTAATGCTTCAGCTCTACAGTCTACAAATGCTCCCTTCCTTTCAAATTGTTCATTATGATTCCTTGCCTCAGTTAGTCTATAGAATAATACCTGCTTCATTTCCGCTATAAAGAACATCATATATAAAGAACACCTTCATCTCACCTAAATTACAGCTAATATAAATACTCAATTCAAACCGACTAAAGACACCAGAAAGCTCGTATAAAGATGACCTTTTGGGCGGCTTAAAGGAATTAGTCAGTTCGTCTATAAATACTTATTCCCTCTGGCTCCAGTTATAAAGACTCCCTGCAGGACGTCTATAAAGTCCACATTCAGCTCGCTCATAAATAATCGCTTCATCTGATATATAAAGACTCCCTTCAGCTTGTATATAAATAATCCCTTCAGTTCATCTATAGATACACTCTTCAGCTCGACCTCCTATCTGATAGACTATAAAGTCTCCCTTCTGATAGGCCATAAAGACAGTTCGGCTATAAAGATCCCTTCGTTTCGGCTTATATCACCAGTCCGATCAGCTTCAGATTATCTATAATGACTTCCTTGAGCTTGCCTATTAAGACTGCATTTGGCTCGTCCATAAAAACTCCTTTTCAGCCCTCCATTCCCAGAAATTCCCTTCTGATCGGCTAAATAGACACCAGACTGCTCGTCTATAAATATGCCCTTCTGGTCAGCTTAAAGATACCAGTCACTTCGTCCATAATAACTCTATTTGAGCTCATTTATAAAGACTCCCTTCAGCTCGTCTATAGAGACATACTTCGGCTCTTCTATGAAAGACTCCTTTCGGCTCGTCTACGAAAAAATCCCTTCAGCTCGTCTATAAAGACTCCCTCCAGCTCGTGTATAAAGACTCCCTTCAGCTTGTCTATAAAGGCTCCTCCAGTTCGTCTATAAAGGGTCATCCAGCTCGTCTATAAAGACTACCTTCAGCTTGTCTACGAAAGACTCCTTCAGCTCGTTTACAAAGATCCTCTTCAGCTTATCTATAAAAACTGATTTCAATTTAGGTTCTCTTCAGGTAATCTACTAATGGAGATGTTTAAAATTGAAAATATTATAAGTTCGGAATAATTTTCCATCTGAAACTATTTTTCCTTCCTTATCCTGCAATATGTTTGATTGGATAGACATTATCAGATTAAATCCATCTTAATTTAGTATTTCTTTTGTTTGCTGTTTTTTTCTCAGTGTATAACAATATATGTATATATAATATATGCATGTATACACATATTTTAAATTGTTTATAAAAAATGAGGTGTATGTACATAACTTTTGTTGTAGTTGTAATAGTGCATTTGAGTTTGTATGTAATGTGTAAATTGTGTAAATTGTAAATTGTTTGAGACAAAATGGAATTGTTAAATTTGTTTTTTTTTTTCAATTGAATGGAAATTTGTTTTTGAAAATTTTCTTGTGTGTTTTTTGATGTTATCGTTTTTTTCTTTGATTTCTTTTTAATCGTATTTATCATTTGATTTCTTATGTATCTTCTTAAATGCTGCCATTCGTAAACTATCCTTACTGGCTTTGAACAGGTGTGATACATTACGCATGGAACGTGTCGAGATGTTGACCACATGATGTGGCATTGCGGCGGCGGCATGTACCGCTGCAATTGTAGTGGATGTCACCGGTTTGATGGTATAGTCACTGACACCGAGGAAATTATCAGCGTCCTCAATGCTAGCCCGAGACTAGGATGCTTTGATTTTTTTCTTGGGATTGCCACGTTGGGCATCGCTGACAGATGTTGGCGGTAGTTCGCGATATTGGTTCTGGAAAAGAGAAATAATATAAAAATTAGTTGAGAGATATATAAATGCATCCATAGGACTTACAAGTTCTTCATCATCGGGTACTCTTGAAAGGAAATCTAACAGCTCATTATTGGGTATGGTATTGGGTCTCAATATCCTTCGACTAAATTTCATTATGCCCCAGAAAAGCAACAGCAAACGTATAGGTACAAAGTGCAGAACAATTATGGCACCAATTAGTAGGACCACTGCCAGCCAGGTTAGTTCGGGGACGGAAAAATTAAAGGTACTGAAAAAATAAAATAATTTTATAATTTTTGGTATATAAAAGGTCGTAGATCTTACTTCTTGGTACTCTCTCCTAGTGATGCCAAATACCCGATGGTATTCTGTACCGTCTGTGAGACTTCTTGTATTGCCTGCAATCGTTCTTTTATCGATTTCTTTTCTTCTTTTTCCTTATCGTCATCATCATCCTCATCATAGTCATAATCATAACTACCACTTGTAGAATCCGATTGTCCGGTAATTAATCGTATAAGCCAGTTTCTATGGGAGATTTCAAGTATTAGGTACTTGAATAAATTTATTTATTACGGATTTTCTTACTTGAGTATTATGATTAGAATAACCAGCGGAACAGTTTCCAGATTTCCATATATGCAAGCTAGTATCCATAAGGTAAATGCTATGACGGATCGAAGGGGACTTTCCCATTCGAAGCAACTCCTGAAATAGAAAAAATGAACATAAAAATGAAATGAAAAATGGACATAAAAAAAATCTGTCATTTAGAAGCCCTATATGTAATTCGTTAGCTTTTCTGTGAGAGATACCAGAGAGAGAGAGACTCTTGTAGCTCTTGTAGCACAGCTCCTCTGTAAAGACTCCCTTAAGGTCCTCTATAAAGACAAATCCCTCAGATCTTCTATAAATACCACCTTCCGCTCGTCAACAAAGACTCCCTTCCGATCATTTATAAATATGCCCTTCCTATTGTCTACAAAGATTTACTACAGGTCGTCTAAAAATAACTCCCTTCAAAACTTCGCTCAGCTCTTCATATAAAGACTGACTACAAACTGTCGTAAAAACTCCTCCATCACCTCTATTAAACTCCCTCGTCCTTCAGCTCGTCTATAAAGATGCCCTTCCGCTCGTCTAAAAAGTCTCCCTTCAGCTTGCCTATAAATAATCCATTCAGCTCGTCTATGATAGACTCCCTTCAGCTCGTCTATGATAGACTCCCTTCAGCTCGTCTATGAAAGACTACCTTCAGCTCGTCTATGATAGACTCCCTTCAGCTCGTCTATGATAGACTCCCTTCAGCTCGTCTATGAAAGACTCCCTTCAGCTCGTCTATGAAAGACTCCCTTCAGCTCGTCTATGAAAGACTCCCTTCAGCTCGTCTATGAAAGACTCCCTTCAGCTCGTCTATGATAGACTCCCTTCAGCTCGTCTATGAAAGACTCCCTTCAGCTCGTCTATGAAAGACTCCCTTCAGCTCGTCTATGATAGACTCCCTTCAGCTCGTCTATGAAAGACTCCCTTCAGCTCGTCTATGAAAGACTCCCTTCAGCTCGTCTATGAAAGACTCCCTTCAGCTCGTCTATGAAAGACTCCCTTCAGCTCGTCTATGAAAGACTCCCTTCAGCTCGTCTATGAAAGACTCCCTTCAGCTCGTCTATGAAAGACTCCCTTCAGCTCGTCTATGAAAGACTCCCTTCAGCTCATCTATAAAATACTCCCTTCACCTCGTCTATAAAAGACTCTCTTCAGCTCGTCTATGATAGACTCCCTTCAGCTCTTCTATGAAAGACACTCTTCAACTCGTCTATGAAGACTCCCTCAGCTCTCTAAAAAGTCTCCCTTCAGCTTGTCTATAAATATTCCCTTCTGCTCGTCATCGTTTCACCCTGAAATCTTCCTTGGATCTGATTCTGGCTATACTTACTGTATATAACGTGCTGCATCCAGAATATTCATAATTATCACTTTCAGTCTATTAACATTACGTAAAAATAATTGTCTTTTAAACTTGGCCTCCTGTTGGATTAATTTCTCCTCCTTGGGTTGCAGGACACGGCATACCGCTCTCACTTCATTCCAGACCACATTCATTTCTAATAGAATCTAAATAAAAAATAAAAAATGTTTTTTTAAAAATACTTATATATAAAAAATTATATATTTTTAAAATACCTGTGGTGATAAACCTTTGGCCCGCGAACACAGATTTTTATCCTTCAAAGTATACCATCGCTTCACACCATTTTTAATACGCAACAATGGTATTACCAATTTTCCCAGGAATTCCACACGATGATCACGATCCTCATCGTAGACGGTGATCTCCAGGACCTGGGTGATATCTTTGACATTGCTATGAAAAAAATGAAAACGGAACTCGATAAATAAATTTTTACCTGAAATGTAGGCTTAAACACTTACAATGTAAAAATCTTATTCCATGTCGGTGTTAGAGTCTTATATTCCGTTTGTGTCTGCAGGCGAGCATTACCCAATTCCAGCACACAAAATGGATCAGATTTACCGCCAATATCCGCTGCAGCCAAACCTTGAGCCCCGAAAACCTTCACCGTCAAATGCCCTACATCCCGTAAATTTTGAAAGCAACGATGCCAACGATAACGATCCGTCATTGCTTTCAGTTCATGCGGATCCTCTTTGAATGCCTTAAGATCACTAATAGTTTCGAGGGCTGTGGTACCGCTTATCGTCAACATAAGGAAGACTTCACCGGGACAGTCTTCAAATTGTTTCCATATGCCATGGGTATTTTCTCTCTCGAATACACTTAAATCTATGGAAGCTTTACCGTAGAGAGTGTTACGATTCCACAGCGAGATTTCCAGCTGTTGATCCTCTTCGAAGAGATGCAAATCGAATTGTTCCAGCCAACGTTCAGTCCATGATGATTTGCTTTTGTATTTTTCATTTCCTAATCTGAAAGAAGAGAAAGTGGGAAATGAGTGACTCTTCGGAAAAGCTTTGGGTCTAATAGTCCATTAAAAAATAGTCTATAAAAAAATCACGCTTCTGGGTAAAAAAATGCAAATTTAAACAATTAAAATAACGTTAAGAGGTCAACTTATTTTTATCGACTTCCTTTAATTCCTTTATTCCTCTATATATACGCCCTTTGGATATTCGATAAAGTCTCCCCTCCGCTCGTCTATAAAGACTCCCTTTAACACTTCTATGAAGAGCCCCTTCATCAACTATGTAAAGACCACCTTAAGCTCGCCTACAAATTCTCTTTTCATATGGCATGTAAAGACTCCGTTCGGCTCGTCTCTAAAAATCCCTTTCAGTCCGTTTAAAAGTCTTTTCAACTCATATGTAAAATTAGTTTTTCCACTAAAATCCAGTAAGGAAAGTTCACCACTTTGTTAATATCTACAAAATCCTGTAGATAGAACAGACATAGAGGAGGACTATTGATATGGAATCGAGCGAAATTAAATGTGCTTTCTAGATAGATATTTGAACCAATTGAAAAAACCCCATACACATACCATTCTGAAATCAATAAAAAATTGCGTGTCAAACGGAGAGACTCGGATTCTTTGGTGTACTATGAAATCGAGTAAAATTATGTATGGGAGCTATATATAAACACATGGACCTAAATGAGCAATCGTGGTATACAACATTTGTTTTTTGTTATCACTCTATATTTAATTTAATATCCTCTGCCATATTTCGTGTAAATCGAACAAACATAGGCCTTTCGGCGCACCATTAACATAAAGTCGAGCGAAAATATATATAAGATCTATATCAAAATCTGAACCTTTTTCAACAAACCTTATCAAGCATCATTTTTTCCTCAATAGCATTCGTTATGCAAAATTTTTCTCAATCGGACAAATATTGGGAGTTTGGTGTATCATTCCCAAAAAATCGGACAAAACTATATATGGAAGCTATATCTAAATCTGAACCGATTTAAACAAAATTTCGCAGACATTAATCTGGACCTAATCCTGTACTCTGTGCAAAATGTTGCATCAATCGGACAAATATTGGGAGTTTGGGGAATCATTTACCTAAAATCGGGCGAAACTATATATGGGAGCTATATCTAAATCTGAACCGATTTTCACGAAACTTAGCACAAGTCATTCTAGACTCGATTCAGTGCTCTATGCCAAAATTCGTTCAAATCCAATGATTTTCAGGGACTTTGGTGCAAGATTTACGTAAAATCTGGTGAAACTATATATGGGAGCTATATCTAAATCTGAACCGATTTTCAAGAAATTTTACACACATCATTCTAGACTCAATCCAGTACGCAATGCCAAATTTCGTGTAAATCGAAGGACATATAGGGACTTTGGTACACCATTTACATTAAATCGGGCGAAACTATATATGGGTGCTATATCTAAATCTGAACCGATTTTCTCCAATTTCAATAGGGTTCGTCCTTGGGCCAAATAAGTGAACTGTGCCAAATTTCATCCTAATCGGATCATAGAAGCGACATGCGTAAATCGACTCAGAAAGTGACTCTATGCATATTCCCATAGGAACCATGGGTCTCGATTCCTTTTGCCTGCTACAAACATATGCGCAAAGACATAATACCCTGTATCACAGTGTGGTGAAGGGTATAATAACACTCCTTATGTTGGCCTCTCCCTCTTCTGTTGTCCTTAAAAATATTGTTTAAAAATGTACGCCTCGTGTTGGTCCTAAGAAATTGTCTTTAAAAAACCCACGCCTTGTGTTGGTCCTAAGAAAATTGTCCTTAAAAAATCCACGCCTTGTGTTGGTCCTAAGAAAAGTGTCCTTAAAAAATCCACGCATCGTGTTGGTCCTAAGAAAGTTGTCTTTAAAAAACCCACGCCTTGTGTTGGTCCTAAGAAAATTGTCCTTAAAAAATCCACGCATCGTGTTGGTCCTAAGAAAGTTGTCTTTAAAAAACCCACGCCTCGTGTTGATCCTAAGAAAGTTGTCTTTAAAAAATCCACGCCTCGTGTTGGTCCTAAGAAAGTTGTCTTTAAAAAACACCCGGCCTCGTGTTGCTCCTAAGAAAGTTGTCTTTAAAAACCCCCGGAATCGTGTTGGTCCTAAGAAATTTGACTTTAAAAAACCCACGCCTCGTGTTGGCCCTAAGAATGTTGTCTTTAAAAAACCCACGCCTCGTGTTGGTCCTAAGAAAGTTGTCTTTAAAAAACCCACGCCATGTGTTGGTCCTAAGAAAGTTGTCTTTAAAAACCCCCGGCCTCGTGTTGGTCCTAAGAAATTTGACTTTAAAAAACCCACGCCTCGTGTTGGCCCTAAGAATGTTGTCTTTAAAAAACCCACGCCTCGTGTTGGTCCTAAGAAAGTTGTCTTTAAAAAACCCACGCCTCGTGTTGTTCCTAAGAAAGTTGTCTTTAAAAAACCCACGCCTTGTGTTGGTCCTAAGAAAGTTGTCTTTGAAAACCCCCGGCCTCGTGTTGGTCCTAAGAAATTTGACTTTAAAAAACCCACGCCTCGTGTTGCTCCTAAGAAAGTTGTCTTTAAAAACCCCCGGCCTCGTGTTGGTCCTAAGAAAGTTGTCTTTAAAAAACCCACGCCTCGTGTTGTTCCTAAGAAAGTTGTCTTTAAAAAACCCACGCCTTGTGTTGGTCCTAAGAAAGTTGTCTTTAAAAACCCCCGGCCTCGTGTTGGTCCTAAGAAATTTGACTTTAAAAAACCCACGCATCGTGTTGGTCCTAAGAAAGTTGTCTTTAAAAAACCCACGCCTCGTGTTGGTCCTAAGAAAGTTGTCTTTAAAAAACCCACGCCTCGTGTTGTTCCTAAGAAAGTTGTCTTTAAAAAACCCACGCCTTGTGTTGGTCCTAAGAAAGTTGTCTTTAAAAACCCCCGGCCTCGTGTTGGTCCTAAGAAATTTGACTTTAAAAAACCCACGCCTCGTGTTGGTCCTAAGAAAGTTGTCTTTAAAAAACACCCGGCCTCGTGTTGCTCCTAAGAAAGTTGTCTTTAAAAACCCCCGGCCTCGTGTTAAACTAAGAAAGTTGTCTTTAAAAAACCCACGCCTCGTGTTGTTCCTAAGAAAGTTGTCTTTAAAAAACCCACGCCTTGTGTTGGTCCTAAGAAAGTTGTCTTTAAAAACCCCCGGCCTCGTGTTGGTCCTAAGAAATTTGACTTTAAAAAACCCACGCCTCGTGTTGGCCCTAAGAATGTTGTCTTTAAAAAACCCACGCCTCGTGTTGGTCCTATGAAAGTTGTCTTTAAAAAACCCACGCCTCGTGTTGATCCTAAGAAAGTTGTCTTTAAAAAATCCACGCCTCGTGTTGTTCCTAAGAAAGTTGTCTTTAAAAAACACCCGGCCTCGTGTTGCTCCTAAGAAAGACGTCTTTAAAAACCCCCGGCCTCGTGTTGGTCCTAAGAAAGTTGTCTTTAAAAAACCCACGCCTCGTGTTGTTCCTAAGAAAGTTGTCTTTAAAAAACTCACGCCTTGTGTTTGTCCTAAGAAATTTGACTTTAAAAAACCCACGCCTCGTGTTGGCCCTAAGAATGTTGTCTTTAAAACACCCACGCCTCGTGTTGGTCCTATGAAAGTTGTCTTTAAAAAACCCACGCCTCGTGTTGGTCCTAAGAAAGTTGTCTTTAAAAAATCCACGCCTTGTGTTGGCCCTTGAAAAAATTATTTTTATACCCTTCACCACACTGTGGTACAGGGTATTATGTCTTTGTGCATATGTTTGTAACAGGCAAATGAAAACGACATAGACACATGGTTCCTTTTGAGAATATGCATAGAATCACTTTCTAAGTCGATTTATGCATGTCCGTCCGTCTGTCTGTCTGTCCATGTATTTTTGTTAACAAAGTACAGGTCGCATTTATGATCCGAATTGGATGAAATTTGGCATAGGCCACTTATTCGGCCCAAGTACGAACCCTATTGAAATTGGGAAAAATCGGTTCAGATTTAGATATAGCTCCCATATATATATTTAACCGATTTAATGTGAACGGTCCCTATATATCTTTCGATTTGCATGAAATTTGCTACAGCGTAATCATTTAGGTCTAGAATGATGTCTGCCAAGTTTCGTGAAAATCGGTCCAGATTTAGATATAGCTCCCATATATAGTTTCGTCCGATTTCATGTAAATGGTGTCCCAAAGTCCCTATATATCTTTTGGTTTGCACGAAATTTGGTATAACGAGCTGAATTAAGCCTAGAGTGATGTATGCCAAGTTTGGAGAAAATCGGTCCAGATTTAGATATAGCTCCCATATATAGTCGTCCGATTTCATGTAAATGGTGTCCCAAAGTCCCTATATATCTTTCGATTTGCACGAAATTTGGTACAGCCTAATCATTTAGGTCTAGAATGATGTCTGCCAAGTTTCGTGAAAATCGGTCCAGATTTAGATATAGCTCCCATATATAGTTTCGTCCGATTTCATGTAAATGGTGCCCAAAGTCCCTATATATCTTTTGATTTGCACGAAATTTGGCACAACGTACTGAATTAAGCCTAGAGTGATCTCTGCCAAGTTTGGAGAAAATCGGTCCAGATTTCTATATAGCTCCCATATATAGTTTCGTCCGATTTCATGTAAATATTGCCCCAAAGTCCCAATATATCTTTCGATTTGCACGAAATTTGGCATAACGTACTGAATTAAGCCTAGAGTGATGTCTGCCAAGTTTCGAGAAAATCGGTCCAGATTTCTATATAGCTCCCATATATAGTTTCGTCCGATTTCATGTAAATGGTGCCCCAAAGTCCCAATATATCTTTCGATTTGCACGAAATGTGAATTAAGCCTAGAGTGATGTCTGCCAAGTTTCGAGAAAATCGGTCCAGATTTAGATATAGCTCCCATATATAGTATCGTCCGATTTCATGTAAATGGTGCGATTTGCGCGAAATTTGGCATAACGTACTGAATTGAGCCTAGAGTGATGTCTGCCTTGTTTCGTGAAAATCGGTCCAGATATAGATATAGCTCCCTTTTATTATAGATTGTTTTTAAGTAATTGAAGCGCCAAGGAACCAATAGACTGATATGAACAAAACGTTCTGAAATTACTATAACCTAACCTGTGACATGTTTGTTTGAAATCGCTTAATATTTGGATAGAGCTTCCATATATATTTTCGCCCGATTTCAAGTAAATTGGGCATCAAACTCCTCATGTAGTCAGATTGACATCAAATTTTGCACAATTAACAAAATTGGGCATAGAATTACGTAGTTGCGTTTTCTAGAAGTACAGACATAGCCCAACGGATGACCTATTTATATTTGTTTGAAGTCGATTTACATACTTTATGAATAGATCTAGATAGATTCACATTTAGATAAATATCACATATTTTATTTCATCCAATTTCATGTTAATAGTCCTGTTTAATATACCCATAGTGGTGAAGGCTATCATATAGTCGGCCCCGTCCGACTTTACTACTTTCCTTACTGGTTTTTGTTTAAGTTTTTCCCTTGTTGCATAATTTTCTTTTTTTTTACAAAAATACGGAAATATCATGATTTATGTAGGTATGTATATAAAAAAATTATCTAATATTATCTTAGCATATATTTAAATATTTCTAACACTTACCTAAATTTAATATGGGCATCACTTAATTTATTGCCATCCTCTGCCAGCGGTAAACCTTTGGCTTTAACCAGCAATATCGTGACTACTGAACTCCAGATTTGAGACTTTAAACGTTTTGATGATTCAGCCAATTTTGAATTTCTTTGGAAATGCTAAAACGAGATGAAAAAAAAAACAAACAAAAATTATTAGTTATGGGAATTGTGACAATTTTCCAGGCATGATTATTGCCTCAAACTTCCTTCTTGCAAATCGGAAATTTCAAGTTCACAGAAAATTGGTTTTTGAGGCTTAGTTAAACTAAACCGCTTATAATACCAAATCACTCGCAACCCATACTAACTTCACAAAAATCCTCCAGCTCGTTGTGTAGGTGATCCGTCCATTGTTGTTGGGTTTTACGCCAGCGTTTCATCAATGCAATTTTATCGGCCAGACATTTACTGCCATTGATATTAAGCGCATAGGTTTTCATGATTTTGATTTAATTTCCGCTTTCAAAATTGTGATAACACATTTCAGTTACAGTCAAATTCGACGATGCGACTGTCTGCCGGTCTGTTTGAATTGTTAGTAAGACGGGGTTCGGTATCGGTTTTGTAAAGACAAACACATTGGCCCGGCACACGAATTCAAATGAAACAAAAACAACGACTGACTGACTGGCTGACTAATTGAAGTTGGCTTGTGTTTTATTATTATACTTGTTGTGGCTAGACTTTGGGAGAATTAGCTAGTAAATATTTAACAAAAACAAAAGTTTCATAATGTACACTGAGAGAAATTATTTTTTCGAATAATAAAAATAATAACAAATACAAAAATTAATAATAATTACAAATAAATAATTTTTAAAAAATTCTGAATGTTGCAAATATTTCTCAAATATTGGCCATAAACAAAAATAAAAACAGTTTTTCTCCCAGTGTGGCTCCCTAGCTTAACTTTATAGTAAGTATAATTGAGTTAAACGCAAGTTTTTTTTATCAGTCTGATACTCAGTCAATAGAGCAGAGAAAGTGAACTGAGTCACGCCAAATTTTGTAAGCTTTACTGAATGAATTAACTCAATGTTTGTTTGCTGTCATCGCTGAGTAATGTTGGTTGCGGGGTTTAGACCACAGCTTTTGTATTAATAGAGTAAACCACGAACACTCAGAAAAATATGTTTTAAGAATATTTAGGAGGTCGAGAATAAATAATTATTTTTTATAGGGCTAACATAGGCGTGGATTTTTTAAAGAATATTTTTCCAGGGACCTATATGAGGCGTGGATTTTTTAAAGAATATTTTTCCAGGGACCTATACGAGGCGTGGATTTTTTAAAGAATATTTTTCCAGGGACCTATACGAGGCGTGGATTTTTTTAAAGAATATTTTTTATGGACCAACACAAGGCGAAGATTTTTTAAAGAATATTTTTCCAGGGACCTATAAAAGGGGTGGATTTTTTAAAGAATATTTTTACAAGGCGTGAATTTCTATACCCTTCACCACACTGTGGTACAGGGTATTATGTATTTGTGCATATTTTGTAACAGGCAAAAGGAAACCAGATAGACACATGGTTCCTTTTGAGAATATGCATAGAATCACATTCTGAGTCGATTTACGCATGTCCTTCTGTCTGTCCGTCCGTCGAAGTATTTTTGTTAACAAAGTAAAGGTCGCATTTGTGATACGATTTAGATGAAATTTGGCACAGTTCACTTATTTGGCCCAAGGACGAATCCTATTGAAATTGGAGAAAATCGGTGCAGATTTAGATTTTCGTCCGATTTTATTTAAATGATGCACCAAACTCCTAATATTTATCCGATTGGGACAAAATTTTGTACAGCGCAGTGAATCAGTTTCATATTTATGTATTGAAAATTTTGTTGGAATCGGTTCAGATTTAGATATAGCTCCCATATATAGTTTCACCCGATTTTTTGTAATTGATGCACAAACCCCTAATATTTGTCGGATTGTACAGCGCACTGAATCAGTTTCATATTTATGTATTGTATTGGAATCGGTTCAGATTTAGATATAGCTCCCATATATAGTTTCGTCCGATTTTGTGTAAATAGAGCACCATATTGCCAATATGGGTGCGATTGAGACAAAATTTTGTAAAACGCACTGAATCGGTTTCATATTTATTTATGCGAAATTTTGTTGGAATCGGTTCAGATTTAGATATAGCTCCCATATCCGTCCGATTTTTTGTGAATGATATACCAAATTCACGATATTTATCCGATTGAGACAAAATTTTGCACAGAGTACTGACTTAGGTCCAGACTGATGTCTGCGAAGTTTTTTCTAAAATCGGTTCAGATTTAGATATAGCTCTTATATATAGTTTCATCCGATTTTATCTGAATGATGCACCAAACTCCCAATATTTGTCCGATTGGGACAAAATTCTGCACAGAGTACAGAGTTTGGTCCAGATCGATGTAAGCGAAGTTTTGTTGGAATCGGTGCAGATTTAGATATAGCTCCTATATATAGTTACGTCCGATTTTATGTAAATAGAGCACCATACTGCCAATATTGGTCCGATTGAGACTCAATTTTGCACAGAGTACTGAAATAGGTGTAGATTGATATATGCCAAGCATTGTTAAAATCGGTTCAGATTTAGATATATCTCCCATATATAGTTTCGTCCGATTTTATGTGAATGATGCACCAAACTCCTAATATTTGTCCGATTGGCACAAAATTTTTCACAGAGTGCTGAATTAGGTCCAGACTAATGTATGTGAGGTTTTGTTGAAATCGATTTTGATATAGCTAACAGTTTCGTTCGATTTTTGGTGAATGATACACCAAACTCCCAATATTTGTCCGATTGGAACAAAATTTTGTACAGAGTACTGATTTAGGTCCAGACTGATGTCTGCGAAGTTTTGTGAAAATCGGTTCAGATTTAGATATAGATCCCATATATAGTTTCGTCCGAGTTTTTTGTGAATTATGCATCAAACTCCCAATATTTGTCCAATTGAAACAAAATTTTGCACAGCCAATAGCCAATGCTATTGAGGAAAAATGATGCTTGATAAGGTTTGTTGAAATCGGTTCAGATTTTGATATAGGTCTTATATATATTTTCGTTCGATTTTATGTAAATGGTGCACCGAAGGGCCTATGTTTGTTCAATTTACACGAAAATTGGCAGATACAGTAATAAAAAAACAAATGGTGTATGCAACGGTTGCTCAATTAGGTCCGTGTGTCTATATATAGCTCCCATACATAATTTGACTCGATTTCATACAAATGGTACACCAAAGAATCGAGATCTGTCCGTTTGACATGCAATTTTTCATTGATTTTGAATGGTATGTGTATGGGATTTTTTCAATTGGTTCAAATATCTATCTAGATAGCACATTTAATTTCGCCCGATTCCATCTCAATGGTCCTCCAAATATTTTTTCAAGGACAAGAAAAGGGGAGGATTTAAAAAAAAAATTAAGGACTACAAAAGGCGAGGGTTTTTAAAGAATATTTTTTCAAGGACCAATACTAGGCGTGGATATTTTTTATGGACTAACAGAAGGATGATTTTTAGGACAATTAGCTCTGCTCTCTTGGAATTTAAACGAATATTGTCTCAATGAGTATTGAACTTACAAGCGTGGATTTTTAAATACGCTGATTTATTTTATTGAACATTGTTTGTCATTTGCTTTAATGTATCACATTTTTGTCGGCTATGTCATTTTCACATATATTTGCAGACATTCTATCTTTATGGTAGGTCGTTAGTGACAGTTAAAATAGCTGTCACTTTTAACACCATTATCCTGTGTTTCCCACACACTCCCCCTGTGGGAGACCAACAATTTTAGGACAATGACATTTTGTGTCACAAACAAAAAATGTTTTGTGACATGATGACATATTTTGGTTGGCAGCAACAACAAGCCAAACAAAAACGGCAAAGAATCCAGACGACATCATTAATCTCACTTCAGACGAAACATACAAAGAAATCATTATGTGGAAAACTTTTGTCGGTCCTCCCACAAAAAAATGATAACTTTCAAGTAACCCATAACAATGCTGTAAATTGGATTCTTGTTAAAGATGAGGCCTAAACACAAAACATACAAATAAACATATTTTTGGCTGACTCTCCATTTTATTTATTTATGATGTTAAATAGGGAGCTGTCATAAACAAAAAACTGTCGACTGTGGCGGAGAAGAGGAGGATGATAAACGCCAAGACCAATCAAATATTTTCCCAAAAGAAATAAAGGTATATTTCCGTTTAATGTGTTGACGGAAGAGCAGAAAGAAAAATTAATGATTTATTTATTCCCCGAACGATGAAAAATTTGACTGGCAGACGAGAATGGACTCATAAAAGATGCCTGGCAAAATATCTTCCTCCATTAATTATGGCACATAATATTTCTTACTTGATGTTTATTCCCATTTAATGGGTAAGAAGAAAATTTATAATTTTATTTATGTTAAAGACGTCGGCAAATTAATTTATTATCGTAATAATAATGATTATTTGCATAATACAAATTGTTGTTTATATTAAATAAAAGAGAATTATGGTTACAAATTACATATTGACTCACCTGTTCTTTGTCCTCTTGACTACGCGGCCATAGTGTTAAATTGACAAGAATTTCACCCATTGGCCTGTCGGGATGATTAACGTCGTGCAGTGCCAAATTTACATCTTCCGCAATACCCAATTCCAGTTGTGTCAAATCAATTTTTGCCGAACCCATGAAATCGTCCTGCAGACCCCAATCGTAGTCGAAAACCTGGAAATGGAAGAAAAAGATTTAGAATTTTTTTCCTAGAACATATAACTTTAAACCCAATCACTATGAAAAGGCAAAGTAAAAGAAAACCAAACCTCCCTAATGTTGACGACCCCCGCAAACGTATAAAGGACCACGATCTGCGAATCTGCACTTGGAATGTGCGCACGTTGTACAGAACAAGCGCAGTGTTCGCTTTGGTGGATGTACTCTAGAAGTACAAAGCCGATATTATTGCCTTACAGGAAATGCGATGGAAAGGGACTGACGTAAGTAAATCCGATGATTACGCCCTGTATTATAGCTGCCATGAAACGAGACATGAATTTGGCTGCGGATTTATGGTTAATAGGAGAATAAAAGACCTCGTCTCCAGATTCACTCCAGTAAATGAGCGAATTGCTATAATCGGTATGAAAGCGAAGTTCTTCTACATCAGTGTCATTTGCGCCCATGCTCTGACCGAAGATAAAGATGAACAGACCAAAGACATATTTTATGAGCGCCTAGAAACAGCATATGACCGTTGCCGTGGAAAACATATTTGACTCCACCGTCGGAAAATTCAGCCTTCATGAAGAAACATCCGACAACGGCATGAGGTTGATTGACTGCGCGGCATTAAAAAACGCGGCAGCACCAGATTCGAGCATCTCGATATACACAAGGCCACCTGGATCTCTCTTGATCAAGCAACGAGAAATCAAATTGATCATGTTGTGATAGACGGAAGGCATTCATCCAGTGTTTTAGACGTCCGATCGATCCGAGGAGCGAATATCGATTCGGACCATTACCTTGTGACAGCCAAGGAACGCACCCGTTTTAATGCAGCAAAGGTGCGATCTAACACAACACGGAAACTCGACGTCGAAAAGCTGCAAACACAACAGTTAGCGGAGGCCTACTCCGCTCAACTTACCAACCTGCTTGAAGAAAGCACTTCTTGTCCCAATAATAGTATAGAAGCACAATGGCAAAAAATTGCCCACCCCCCCACAAACTGCAGCAAAAGCAAGACTTGGGTACCAAAAACCACCACCAACCACAGTTTGTCGTATGATCTATTTAACATCCTGCTGGAAAAGGTCATACGAGACGCAAAGGTGAACAGAAGTGGCACTCTGTACACCAAACAACACATGTTATTACGCCGATGACATCGATATAATGGGTCGAACATTGCGAGCGGTAACAGCCACCTTTGAACAAATTGAAAAGGAATCTGCCAAAGTGGGTCTGACAGTAAACGGCGAGAAGACCAAGCTGATGGTATCAACGCGCAAGACGTCCAGTAGACTTAGACCAACTGTGGAACTTGAGAACCACAGTTAAATATTTTATATACCTTGGTACCGCCATAAATGTGGAACATGAGAACTACAGCTTCGAGGTAGTTAAAGATTTTATATATCTTGGTACCGCCATAAATAAAACGAATGACATCAGTTTTGAAATTCGGAGAAGGATTGTGATGGCCAACATATGCTACTATGGTCTGAGTAAACAGTTTAAAAACAAGGCTACCTCCCGCCAGACCAAACTCACACTATACAAGACGCTGATACTACCCGTGCTTTTATATGGATCTGAAGCATGGGTACTTGCGCAAGCAGATGAGGCAGCTCTTGGGGTGTTTGAAAGAAACATTTTCCAAAAGATCTACGGGCCGATATGCGTCGACGGTGAATATCGGCGTCGAAGGAACCACGAGCTTTACAATGTATACGCGGACATCGACATAGTCAGTCGTATTGAGCTGCAGCGACTACGGTGGCAAGGCCATGTTGTGCGAGCCAACTGATGGTTTCCGTAGAAGGGGAAGGTCACGAATTAGATGGAAAGACCAAGTAGAAAACAACATCTTGAAATGTGGTTTCTAAATTGGTGGATTTGCGCACAAGACCGACGCGCTTGGAAATCTTTTTTATGCTCCGCTTATGGAACAACCGCTCTGTAACAAGTCAGCTAAGTAAGTAAGTATAGCTTTAAATGTGCGGAATGATTTCTTAAAGAATATTTTTTCAAGGACTAACACAGAAATAATTATTTTAAGAAGAATGTTCAAGGACCATTAACGACGTGGGTTTTTATTTAAAGAATACTTTGTTTATGAATCATTGCAGTGGTAAATTTTTTAATGAACAGTTTTCAAGGTTCATTACAGGTGTGGATTTTTTAAAAATATTTTTCATGGACCAATACAAGCAAGGATTTTTAAAAGATAGTTTTTCTATGATCACAACGTGATATTTTTCAAGGAGCAATATAAGGCGTGATATTTTTCATATAACAATACAAGGCTTGGATTAAAAATATATATATTTTTTTTCAAATACCATTGATATGCGGGGATTTAATAAGGAGTGAATTTTTAAAAAAATATTACCTCAAGGACTTTTAAAATATTTTTTGAAAGGATTTTCGGCCTAGAATCATGGATTTGATACGTTTATCGACCAATGTTGTAATTTGTTATAATATTAAGCACAACCCACATACCCACTGTTAAATATATTTAAATATCTGCTACCTTTTGCTCTTTTACTGCCCTTCTCAGAAAATGATACTACATTCCATATTCACTTAAATGGGCATGCGAAAAAGTTTCGAATATTCCAACTATTTTTTATTTTTGCTAAGTATGCTTAACGAAATTGTGCCACAAAGCCATTGCCAAGAGGATACCTCAATTTAGGTTAACAGATATCCCTCAAAAGGTTATTCAATTTTAAATCGCATTACATATTTAAAAGGACACCACAATTTCCCAAGTAATTGTTTGTAAACATTATTAACTTTGTAATTTGTAATTCTTTTACAATGGTGTATTGAAAATGCCTTAGGGACTGTGGTTTGGAAATAATGAATGGGATGCGCTTGAATTGTAATAAGTCGTACGTACTCATCCTCAATTGCTTTGTTGGGGTTGGGATTTTGTTGTCCTTGAAAAAAGGGAAATCAATGAGATTTCCGTTTGCTGCAATCATACAATTTATTTCATTGCTTTCCGAACAATTGAGATAATTATTTATTATGGGCAATTGAACGCAGCATTCTATGCGTACTTTTTCTTTTTTATACCCTTCACCACACTGCGGTACAGGGTATTATGTCTTTGTGCATATTTTTGTAACAGGCAAAAGGAAATGAGATTGACACATGGTTCCTTTTGAGAATAGGCATAGAATCACTTTCTGAGTCGATTTATGCATGTCCGTCCGTCTGTCCGTCTGCAGATTTTAAATTGAAAACAAAGTACAGGTCGCATTTATGATCCGATTTGGATGAAATTTGGCACAGCTCACTCATTCGGGAAATTGGGAAAAATCGGTTCAGATTTAGATATAGCTCCCATATATATTTTTGTCCGATTTATGATAAATGGTGCACCGAAATTCCTATATATCTATCGATTCGCCCTAAATTTGGCACAGCGCACTCAATTATGTCTAGAATGATATGTGTAAAATTTCTTGAAAATCGGTTCAGATTTACATATAGCTCCCTTATATAGTTTCGTCCGATTTTATGTAAATGGTGCACCAAAGTCCCTATATATCATTCGATATGCACGAAACTTTGTTTAGAGAAAATCGGGTCAGATTTAGATATAGCTCCTAAATGTATTTTCGTCCGATTTTATGTAAATGGTGCACCAAAGTCCCTATATATCATTCGATATGCACGAAACTTTGTTTAGAGAAAATCGGGTCAGATTTAGATATAGCTCCTAAATGTATTTTCGTCCGATTTTATGTAAATGGTGTACCAAAGTCCCTATATATCTTTCGAATTGCACGAAATTTGGCATAGGGTACTGAATTATTTCCAGTATGATGCATGCTAAGTTTCGTGAGAATCGGCTCAAATATAGATATAGCTCCCGTATATATTTTCGTCCGATTTTATGTAAATGGTATGTATATATTTGTCGATTTGCATGAAATTTTGCATAGTGTACTGGATTGAGTCTAGAATTACGTATGTTAAGTTTCGTGAAAATCGGTTCAGATGTAGATATAATTCCCATACATATTTTCGTCCGATTTTATGTTAATTGAGCACCCAAGCCCCTATATATAAATTGCCTTGAAATCGGTTCAGATTTAGATATAGCTTAGTTTCCATATATAGTGAAGGGTATCATATACTCGGCCCAATCCGACTTTATTACTTTCCTTACTGGTTATATTCGCGTCCTTGAATGATGCATATATAGAGTTTGTATACTATTACTTGGACCAAAATTGGGTGAGAGTTCCTTGTATTTTATACAGGCATGTCGAGGTCTTGATCTGCTGGTCTTTGAGAAAATATTCTTTGCTACTCCTTGAGAAAAAATTATTAAAAATCCACGCTCTTTGGTCTGCTGGTCCTTGAGAAAATATTCTTTAAAAATCCACGCCTATTGGTCTGCTGGTCCTTGAGAAAATATTTTTTAAAAATCCACGCCTATTGGTCTGCTGGTCCTTGAGAAACTATTCTTTAAAAATCCACGCCTATTGATCTGCTGGTCCTTGAGAAAATATACTTTAAAATTCGACGCCTATTGGTCTGCTGGTCCTTGAGAAAATATTCTTTAAAAATCCACGCTCTTTGGTCTGCTGGTCCTTGAGAAAATATTCTTTAAAAATCTACGCCTATTGGCTTGCTGGTCTTTGAGAAAATATTCTTTAAAAATCTACGCCTATTGGCTTGCTGGTCCTTGAGAAAATATTCTTTAAAAATCTACGCCTATTGGTCTGCTGGTCCTTGAGAAAATATTCTTTAAAAATCCACGCCTATTGGTCTGCTGGTCCTTGAGAAAATATTCTTTAAAACTCTACGCCTATTGGCTTGCTGGTCCTTGAGAAAATATTCTTTAAAAATCCACGCCTATTGGTCTGCTGGTCCTTGAGAAAATATTCTTTAAAAATCCACGCCTATTGGTCTGCTGGTCCTTGAGAAAATATTCTTTAAAAATCCACGCTTCTTGATCTGCTGGTCCTTGAGAAAATATTCATTAAAAATGCACGTTTCTTGGTCAGCTGGTTCTTGAGAAAATATTCTTTAAAAATCTACGCTTCTTGATCTGCTGGTCCTTGAGAAAATATAGTTTGAAGTCCACGCTTCAGAAAATATTCTTAACCATAAAATATTTCTTAACAATTTCATTTTTCATGCCTAATCTCCAACTTACCTTAACAATAATGGGTTCGAAAGGATCTTCAATTGGCACCACAAATACTTCATCCCAAACAGGATTCAAATCTCGATGTATTGTGCGTGATTTGTGTAAAAGGCGGCCGGCCATTTTAAATTTGACATAAGGATCACTTAAACCTGAAAATGCAAATTAAAGGAAATACAAAAGAAATGATGAGTCGGAAATTCTTTTCTATCTAAAGAAGGAAGGAAACAAGAAGAAGCAGAAAAGTACAAATCATCACGACCCTCTCTACACTTACCATTTTTGTCCATGGCCACTAAATCACTGCCATTTTTGAGATGAACACGTAGTTGAAAGAAGACATATTGACGTAATTGGGCTTCCTTTTTGCGGCGTTTTTCATCGGCCTGGTGACAAAGAATAAATCAAGAGAAACAAAATAAAAAGGAAATGCAATTAAAATTTGTTAGAAAATTTTAAAATAATTTTTTAAAGAAAAAAAGTAGGGAAGGGAAATTTCCATCTCACCTGCAAATGTTCCATTTGTCTTGCCGTCAGCTGAGAATCATTGCCGCCATAATTACTGCCACCATTTTCCGGATGCTCATCGATACGCCCCTCCATCGAACCACCAAATCTCTGTATGGCCTGTGCCATTCTCGCTGTGGCCTTAAATTCCTTAGCCAATGGTGAACCACCAATTGTTTTGGCCCTATGCCTTGGTGATTGGGTCACAGAACTACTTTCTGAACTATAATCGGCAGCATAGTCGGTACTCTCTTCCAGGAAATCATTTGGCGATTTACGCCCCACCCGATCTTTACTTTTGGCACGACCCCAACGATGTTTCAGATTATTAAAAAATCCATGGGTCTTTTGTAGCACCCCTCCACCACCACCCGATGAGGTGTTTGGCGCCGCTGCACTTTTCGCCCGTTTCGGTGATGTCTGTGGTGATTCTTTGTGACCATTCAATTCGGAGGCTGATTTACTTAAATGCTGTCCTAAACGTTGGCGGGATTGTGGTGAGCCATGTGGGCTGGCCGAGGGTGTAATATTAATGGATTCTTTGCTATGAAATTCCTGACGTCGATACTCTGCTGAACGATATTCTTCACTTGCCAATACATCGTCACTGTAGTGAATACGTGCTGGAATGAATAGAAGAAAGAAAGGAAAAGAGGATTAAATGGTTTGAATTGTTGTTGGTGTTGTTGTTGTAGTACACTTGTCATTTGTCACACATGTCTGTTTGATTTCAAATTAAAGCAGATTGAGTGAACAATGGGTACATCTGTTTTTAACATTTAACAACAGTTGAGATAAATTGGAAAGCTTAAATCAAAAGGGACGAACCAGCATTAATTTTGTTAATTTTTGGTTGCTAAAAATCGAATCGAATTCGAATTATACCTGAATCCAGTTAAAAAAATCATTTTTGAGAATATTTTCCAAAAGCGGATTTTTGATAATTTTTTTCAGGTCCCAAAGGGCAATATGGTTAATTTTTAAATATATTTATTTTAAGGTTCCAAACAAGGATTTTGTTAAAACAATAAGCGTGGATTTTTTAAATAATTATTTTCAAGAACCTATGCGAGGACCTACAGACCAATAAGCGTGGATTTTTTAAATAATTATTTTTAAGAACCTATGCGAGGACCTACAGACCAATAAGCTTGGATTTTTAAAATAATTTTTTTCAACGACCTATACAAGGCGTGGATTTTTTAAATAATTTTTTTCAAGGACCTATATACCAATAAGCGTGGATTTTTTAAATAATTTTTTTCAAGGACCTATATACCAATAAGCGTGGATTTTTTAAATAATTTTTTTCAAGGACCTATATACCAATAAGCGTGGATTTTTTAAATAATTTTTTTCAAAGACCTATAGACAAATAAGCGTGTATTTTTTAAATTTTGTTTTCAAGGACCTATAGACCAATAAGAGTGGATTTTTTAAATAATTTTTTTAAGGACCTACAGACCAATAAGAGTGGATTTTTTAAATAATTTTTCTCAAGGATCTACAGACCAATAAGCGTGGATTTTTTAAATAATTTTTCTCAAGGACTTACAGACAAAAATAAGCGTGGATTTTTCAAATAATTTTTCTAAAGGACTTACAGACAAAAATAAGCGTGGATTTTTTAAATAATTTTTTTCAAGGACCTACAGACCAATAAGCGTGGATTTTTTAAATAATTTTTTTCAAGGACCTACAGACCAATAAGCGTGGATTTTTTAAATAATTTTTTTCAAGGATCTACAGACCAATAAGCGTGGATTTTTTAAATAATTTTTTTCAAGGATCTACAGGCCAATAAGCGTGGATTTTTTAAATAATTTTTTCAAGGATCTGCAGGCCAATAAGCGTGGATTTTTTAAATAATTTTTTTCAAGGATCTACCTACCTGTAACCTTCGATTCTGGACCTACAGACTAATAACCTTCGATTCTGGACCATACATCATAGTAGGACTGTGTGTGCTGCACATTACAAATTATGACATCATATATTTTATTCCACACACAAACTCGCGTAAGGATATAAAATAATGAATATTAAAAACTCTTTATTATCATCATTATTCAAAGTCATATATACACGCTTAACATAAGATTTCCCCTCTTGGCGGAATATATCCATGACTACATGGGCATGTATGAAAGTGTATATAAAATACGCACATGCATGTAACCTTTTTTTATGGCATTTTGAATATTTTAACATCAGCGACGTTTTGCAACGACGTGTATGGAAATTACACACTACAAAAATATGTCATATGAATATTCTCTCGGTACTACTCTGAAGCTGTTTGTAGAGTGACCTTTAAAAGAAGTGAAGCAACCTCGACACTTAAACTCTAGTGTTCAGATAGATTATGCACAAACATACATATGAGAAAGTTCAAATATATGTGTGTTAGTGCCCATCATATGTCACACTCTATGACTGACTGACATAACATTTATGACATAATCCTGATTATAAAAAAAATATCCTTATGTGAGGGCATATTTAGTCATCATCATCATCAGCAGCATTACCATTACGCCAGCATTATCAAAGCCAAGGCTCGATTCCTTTGAATTTTAAACGAGACTTTGTTATTGTTTTTATTTTTGTTATGACTGGAGCCTTTGTGTTGGCAAAATATGAAAATATATACACCAGATAAAGGATCCATTATCCTAAAGTGAATGTTAATATTACCAATAAAACCAATTTGTTTTATTATTAATTAAAAAAATATTGTTTTGTGGAATCTAAAGAATTTAATTATTGCAATTTCTTCTTTCTCTATTCTTAGTTGAATCAACATGCCTTTTAATTCTAATCCATCAATTGATTTGTTGCTTTCTACCGCATCCATAACCCTATGACGACTATGTTTCCAGTTTCAGTTCGCTATGGGAATTTGTCATGACATCCCGACAGTGGCAACCACGTCACCTCTAGTGGCCTCGGATGTGCAGTAAGTGTCATGGATGTATGTCATTCCAATATCATTTAATAAAATGAACAGTGAGACCCAGATATCAGCGACAGATTTTTTTTAAATGAAATATTACAAGGACCAACAGGTCAATAAGAATTACTAAAAATTTGGAAATAAGAGTGGATTTTTCAAATATTTTTTCAAGGACCTACGTTCCAATAAGCCTGGATTTTTTAATAATTTTTCCAACGTCCTACAGACCGATAAGACGGTTTTTTAATTTTTCCATACCGATAAGCCTGGATTTTTGTTTAATAATTTTTCAAAGGACATTTCACAGACATATAAGCCTGGATGTTTAAAGAATATTTTTAAAGGATCAACAGACTATAAATCAATAAGCGTGGATTTTTTAAATCCAAAATTTCAAGGTCTCACAGACCAATAAGCTTGGATTTTTTAAATCCAAGCTTATTGGCTTCAAAGGTCCCACAGATTAATACGCGTGAATTTTTTAGATAAATTTGTTCAAAGTCCCACAGACCAATAAGCGTGGATTTTTTAAATATATTTTTCAAGATCCCACAGACCAATAAGCGTGGATTTTTTAAATATATTTTTTAAGGTCCCACAGACCAATAAGCGTGGATTTTTTAAATATATTTTTTCAAGGAACTACAGACCAATAGGCGTGGATTTTTTAAATATATTTTTTCAAGGAACTACAGACCAATAGGCGTGGATTTTTTAAATATATTTTCTCGAGGTCCCACAGACCAATAAGCACGGATGTTTTAAATATATTTTTTTCAAGGTCCCACAGACCAATAAGCGCGGATTTTTTAAATATATTTTTTCAAGGTCCCACAGACCAATAAGCGCGGATGTTTTAAATATATATTTTCAAGGTCCCACAGACCAATAAGCGCGAATTTTTTTTAAATATATATTTTCAAGGCCCCACAGACCAATAAGCGCGAATTTTTTTTAAATATATATTTTTCAATGACGATTATACCAATAAACTTGAATTTTTTTCAATCCAAATTTTCAAGGACCAACAGACCAATGAATTTTTTCAATATTTTTAATTTCCACACATCTCTCCACATCTATCACTACCCACACACTGACAAGCTATATAAATACATTTAAATTACCGACTATTATTACTATTGTGCAATATCACAAAATATACTTTTGTCTATAAATAGCGTGATAAATTCGTAACAATTACCTGGTTCAACTTCGGCTATTTTAAAACACTGGGCACAATTCCATGAGACACTCTTTTTGATTTTTTGTTTCAGTTTTATTTTCAATTTTGTTTTCGGTTTCTTTTTCGTCGTTTCGTTTTCATTGGCATGCGACACAGTCGGCTCCATTTAGATGGGCGACTGATGATATGGGAAGAAGTCGGAGTGTTGGGAAGCCGGCATGACATTTAATTGAGTTGTCCGTATCTATTAAATATTTCAGATTTTTTTCTTTTCCGAATTTCTCTCTCTGTCTCTCTCTCTCAGTTCTTAGCTGTGATTTCTGTTATCTTTGTTTTTTCTTTTTTTACACGAACTACTGCATATTGATATCCTTTGGGTGTATATTAAGTGATAAATTGATATCCATGTACAATTGTTGGTTGTGCAATATTATGTCGTTATGTCGATAAAGAATAAATCCAAACAGAATATAAAACTATGATTACAATCACAACATGACAGTAATGACAAAAAGTAATTGCCACCAATTGTTGTTTTGATTAAATGCTTTATTGATTTACTGTTGGTAGGATGGCAAACGGGTGCGTTTTTTCCTGAAGAGGTTACATATGGGAAAATACATTTTTATTTTGAGATTTAAATTATGGGTTAAATCTCAAAAGGGACAAACATGGATTTTTTTAAATAGTATTTTTTGTATAAACTAATAAGCGCGAACTTAATAATTTTTTTTACGGATCAAGGGATCAATAAGCCTGGATTTTTTAAAGAACCATGAGAACTATAAGCATGCATTTTTTAAAGAATATTTTTTCAAAGACTATAAGCCCAATAGGCGTGGATTTTTTCAGCGACCATGATACCAATAAAGAATATATTTTCATGGACAATGAGACCAATATGCGTGGATATATTTTTAAGGACCATGAGACCTATAAGCCTGGATTTTTAAAGAATTTCTTTTCAAGCACCATGAGATCAATAAGCGTGGATTTTTAAATAACATTTTTACAAGGACCATGAGACCAATAAACGATGATTTTTAAATAATATTTTTAAAGACTAAAATAGCAACATGCGTTGATTTTTAAATAATATTTTTTAAGGACCAAACGAGCATTGCACTGACCATGCTACCAAGAAGGGTAGAGATTTGATTTTTACCAATGACTCGGTACCAATACGCCTTTTTTATTTAAATACAAATTTTTCAAGGACAAGAGACTGATAACTCTGGATTATACATCATTGTGGAGGATGTGAGATAGATAGATAATACTCTTCAGAGACTCCATATAGTATATTTATTCAAGATCGGTTATAGCTCAAAGTCCTACTTTTGGTTTGAACCTATCCGAAGTGGCTTTACTGTGGCATTCTGGATCGTGGGAAATATATAGGTACATGTTTTGACGTACCTC